GGTCCCTCGACCCCCGCCAATACTCGGTGCTGCTGGGATCACGTGACCTCTGGGGGGAGGGGCCCGACGACTCCGTGGGCGTGGCCAAGGAGCGGAAGGGCGTGGCGGTGGGCGTGGCCGAGCTGCTGCCCCACCCCCTTTACCGGGGCGAGGCCACGAGCGGCGACATCGCATTGGTCCGCTTGGCCACGCCCCTTTCSTTTGGCCCCGCCCTCGGGCCCGTCTGCCTCCCCTCCCCCACCCTGAGGTTCCCGCCCGGAACGCGCTGCGTCAGCACCGGCTGGGGGGAGGGGCCCGGAGGTGAGACTGGGATAAACTGGGATGGACTGGGAATGGACTGGGAATGGACTGGGATGGACTGGGATGGACTGGGAGAAAAAAATCCGGGGGTTTTGGGGTGAAAAATGGAGATTTTGGGGAAAAAATTGGGGATTTTGGGATAAAACTTGAGGATTTGGAGGGAAAAATGGGACTGGGATGGACTGGGAGGGACTGGGATGGAAAAAATGGGGGTTTTGGGGTGAAAAATGGGGATTTTGGGAAAAAAAATGCGGATTTTTGGGTGAAAATGGGACTGGGATGGACTGGGATCAAACTGGGAGGGACTGGGAGGAAAAAATCCGGGGGTTTTGGGGTGAAAAATGGGGATTTTGGGGGAAAAATGGGACTGGGACAAACTGGGATAAACTGGGATGGACTGGGATGGACTGGGATAAACTGGGAATGGACTGGGATGGACTGGGATGGACTGGGAATGGACTGGGAATGGACTGGGAATGGACTGGGATAAACTGGGATAAACTGGGACAAACTGGGAGGGAAAAAAAGGGGAATTTTGGGAAAAAAAAGGGAATTTTGGGACAAAAAATAGGGATTTTGGGACAAAATATGAGAATTTTGGGGGGAAAAATGGGACTGGGAGGGAGTTGGAACCGACTGGGATTGACTGGGATAAACTGGGAGGGACTGGGAATGGACTGGGAGGGACTGGGATGGAGAAAAAGGGGAATTTTGGGGAAAAAATTGGGGATTTTGGGACAAAAAATAGGGATTTTGGGACAAAATATGAGAATTTTGGGGGGAAAATGGGACTGGAATGGACTGGGAGGGACTGGGATGGAGAAAAAGGGGAATTTTGGGGAAAAAAATGGGGATTTTGGGACAAAAATTTGAGAATTTTGGGATAAAATATGAGAATTTGGGGGGAAAAATGGGACTGGGAGGAAGTGGGATAAACTGGGATATACTGGGATCAAACTGGGAGAAACTGGGATCAAAGTGGGAGGGACTGGGATAAACTGGGAGGGACTGGGAGGGAAAAAAGGGGAATTTTGGGGGAAAAAATGGGGATTTGGGGGGGAAAAATGGGATTTTAGGGATTAAAAATGGACTGGGAATGGACTGGGAATGGACTGGGATGGACTGGGATGGACTGGGATGGACTGGGATAAACTGGGATCAAACTGGGATAAACTGGGAGGGAAAAAAAGGGAAAAAAAGGGGAATTTTGGGGAAAAAATGGGGATTTTGTGGGTTAAAAATGGACTGGGATCAAACTGGGACAAACTGGGAATGGACTGGGATGGGACTGGGAGGGAAAAAACCCGGGGGCTTTGGGGTGAAAAATGGGGATTTTGGGGGAAAAATGGGACTGGGAGGAAGTGGGAATGGACTGGGAGGAACTGGGATAAACTGGGACAAACTGGGATGGACTGGGAGGGGACTGGGAGGGAGAAAGTCTGGGGTTTTGGGGGTGAAAAATGGGGATTTTGGGAAAAAAATGGTCATTTGGGGGGGAAAATGGGATTTTAGGGATTAAAAATGGACTGGGATCAAACTGGGACAAACTGGGAGGGACTGGGAGAAAAAAATCCGGGGGTTTTGGGGTGAAAAATGGGGATTTTGGGATAAAACTTAAGGATTTGGAGGGAAAAATGGGACTGGGATCAAACTGGGATCAAACTGGGATGGACTGGGAGGGAGAAAATTGGGAATTTTGGGGAAAAAAATGGGAATTTTTGAGTGAAAATGGGACTGGGAGGGCGTGGTCAGTGGGTGTGGTCACTCTGGTCACTCATTGGTCACTCCGGTGGGTGTGGTCACTGTGGGTGTGGTCACTGGTGGGTGTGGCC